TGTCACGGTCTGTGATGGGTCCAAAGCCTGTCTGTCACGGTCTGTGACGGTTAATTAGCTAATTAAATACTAATTAATCAATTAATTAATTAAATACTAATTAATCAATTAATTAATTAAATACTAATTAATTAATTAAGATGTCTGTCACGGTCTGTGATGGGTCACGTGAGAGTCTGTCACGGTCTGTGATGGGTCACGTGAGTGTCTGTGTCCAAATTTCTACCCTTAAACACTTCAACACTCCTTTCAGATCGTGTTTCACAAAATACATTAGTAAGTTAATTTTAAATTAATTGTATTATATTTTATAATAAAATATTATAAGATAAAAAGTATATTATTAAATTGGTTTTTGATAAGATTATATAATTACTTAAAATAAATATGTCTCAGTTTGTATTTTTATTTAATTCAAAAGAAAAAAAAAATATTTTGAAATCTTTCTTTTTGTTTTTTCTGTTCATTTAATGTAGTCAAGATTAAATTAATATGAATATTTTGATAAATAAATTAATAAAAGAATCAAATAAAATAAATTTTTAGATATGAACATTTTGATAATAATAGATATAAATTATTCTTTTTGATTTATTTAATTAAAAACAAATTTTGAAATTAAGATTTTTAATAAAGATTATTTATTTCATATATTTATATAAATATTTATTTTATTATTTAGAATGTTTTCACAAGATCTAATCGATTAATGTTACAACATCGACGACGAATAAATAATCATTCACAAGTTTTATCTGATGAAAAACTTGAAGATCTTTGTTCATCAAATTCATCATCATTTAAATTAATGAAGATTATTCGCGATGGATATGAAAGTTTATTATTTGAACGAGAACATGTTATTCGTGAAACATCTGCTCTTTGTGAAGCAATTAAAGAATTATGTGATATGAAAGATAAACAATATCTTGAATATAAACGTCAGATAATGTTCTACGAGGGAACATTACATGCTCGTGGTATGATGGGAGAATTTATTGGCTATTTACAAGGTATGATACAATCATCAAATAATCATACAAGAATTTCAAGAAAAAAATTATTTGAAAAAATAATGGAAATAGGTCTTAATTCATCAAAAACAAATTCTGTTATTAGCCGTATTGTTAACCTCTTGGATACCGCTTGTCTTCAATTGAAGATATGCAGAACGAAAGAATTTATTTTTTCGTTCTGTCCTGTCGATAAACAGCTGTGAAACGAAATGTTCATTGGCATAGCTATGTCGAACCATGTTATATGTACGACAAAATATGCATGAATACAGCTGATACAAGACGATCGAACGCAAGAAATCACCGGTATCCAAGAGGTTAAAGATATGTTCATGTGTATTCATATTGAAATAGACAATTTATCCGATGATGAAAAAAAAAACAAATCAAATGAATTAATAAATGAATTAGAACAGGCTTATTTGGTATTATCCGAATCAGTACATGGTACAAGAAAATGGAAAAATAACGATGAATTGACTATTTGTTCGTAACTTATTCTTTTTTTCTTTGAAAAAATAAAATAAGAAAATGCTTTTATTTTTTTTTTATTTAGAAATAATTTAAATGATCATCAAATATGTTTATTAAAACGTATTGGAATACGTTTTCTCGTAGTTGATGAAAACAAAATTAAAGTTGAAAAATATTAATGTTTTTCAACACATATGTTTATTATTATTATTTTATATGAAAAATATATAGACATAGAACCATATGATTGTGTTTATAATTTTGTTTTTTTTTTGTTTTATATTTCTTTTTGATTTAAGATAAAAAGAAAGAAATAAAAAAAAGATCTATATAGATGTATAAAATATTATTTTATTATATTCCTTTATTATATTTTATAATAATTGTTCATGAAAAAGAAAATTTTTATATATTAAAATTAGATGATAAAAATAATAATGTTAACATTAATATATATGAATTTATCAAAATCAAATAATTCATTTTGATATTATTAAAAATTTCTTATATAAAATACATTTATGAATGAAACAAAATATTAAAAAATTATATAGATTTTATTTAGATATCTAATTATAGCCAATATCAAAATATAATATATTTTCTTCATTTTATATTGATTAATAGTTTAAAAATAAAACAAAACAAATTTATGCTCATTCATTATGATTAATATTAGACAAAAAAAGAACAAACAATTTATTCAATCATCATTATCATTATAATAAGATCAATTACTATTTATTTGTTTAATATATTAGTATTAAATAGAATAATTAAATTTTAATTATTGTATAATTATTAAAAATAAACCATTAACTAAAAATGAAATATTATATCAATGTTCATCATTATTAAAAATATAAAACAAATCAATTTTTCATAGATTGTTTAATAAATCGTTTTTTCATGAAATACAATATTTGCATAGAAAAAACAACTCAATAAGAAAATGGAGAATAGTGCACTTTGTTGATTCTTAGCAGCGGGTTTTTTTCTTTAGCTTTCAAGAAAAAAAAATTCAAAGTCAATATTCTGGTGAAGTGACAATGAATCAGCAAATGTTGACAACATCTTTTCACACAATCAAATCATCGAACACTGTTGTGCCGAGTAATCAACAGTAGTGTTTGTTGCATTCTATGAAAGGTATACCACATCAAAACAAGATACAGATTCTATACGAAAGGGTGTGGGTGTGGATGTGGGTATGCGTTAAGAGAAGAGTCATACCCACACACACCCCACACCCACACCCACCGACACCCACACCCCACCCACACCC